ATTTATTAATAAAAATTTTTTCTGTCAAATTATTCAAATTTATGATCATTTAACTATTTCATAATAATTCAATGCATATAATATATTATTTGCTGATATGGAGACTAAAGGTATATGATTCACATTGAAAGAACATATTAACTTAAAAAAACAGAATGATGCTGAACTTGATCATTATATAATTATGCTAATATCAATCCTAATTTATCTAATGTTTAATGTTTTATAATTAATAATATAGTTATTGCTTATTTTTAAATGAATAAGAACATAGTATAATAAATACTGTGTACTATGAAAATTAAGAAAATTAATATTTTTCCAGTTTTTAATATACCATTGTATTACTTATAAGTTAAATCTATGTGATAATAAACATTGATGTTATTGGTAATAATTCAATTAGAATTACAGTTAGAATTATAAATAGAACTTATATTGTTATATATGTTTTATGAATTATTAACATACAAAATATATTTTAGATAATGTCAGATGATGATGCTGCATTGGACTCAATGGATACAGAAGAAGATATTTTTATTCCCAGAAGCCGCAGCCTTGGCTCTAATGCCAGAAGGGTTAAAAGTTTGCGTACTCTGCGATCGCATTCGAACTCTAATTCTCATATATCTATGAATAATTTAAGTGTACGTCGTAGTACACGTAACAGAATGCAAACTTATGATAATCTTAATACTAGTTGGATTTTAGGTGAAAAAAGTTTTAAAGAAATTTTAAATAAATAAAGGTCATTGTTTAATTGTTTGTAATATACTTTAGGAACACAAACATTAAAAGGCTATCCTATGTTTCAACAACATGGTTCTTCATCTGATAAAGAGATGGTGGATGAAGTTCCTGAACGAAAACGTGATCTTAAAGAGCGTATGCCTCTCAGATCACGTGAGAATCATCCGCCTAACAAGAATTCATCAAGGCACATTAGAGAAAGAGCGGAACATGATCGACAAAATAGCAGGGAACGTAGAAATAGAAGTGATCGTGATCTCAGAGAAAAAACAGAACAAGAAAAAGATATTAGAGATCTGAAAGATAGACAAGAAAGAGAAAGAACAGATAGAGAACATAAAGATAAAATGGGAACCAGAAGTAAAGCAAATGAGGAAAAAGATGGAAGGTAAATATCTGTTAGTATAATACAAAAATTTTAAACATTCACATTTATGTATTTTAACATAATTACATTATGTAAAAATTCCTTTGTAGAACAAGAAAATCTGATAGTCCATGTAGACTTAGAGAAGGACCTGTGACAAGACTTGGAGGGAATTTAGTTGAAAAAGATGAGAAGCCTAAAGTAGAACAAGATGAAGCTGACGAAGATAGTTCACAAGAAAGTGAAAAGGCAGAAAATAATGATAATTCTGAAAATGAAGATGTAAGTATTTATTGTAATTTTATGCATGTTTATTAGTTTTTATACATGATTTTTTGCGAATAAAAATTATTGGTTCTAATTGTATTAACATATTTATATGTTTAATGCTTGTAGGGTTACGAAGATATGTACACACGTATTAAACGAACTAGGAGAACAGCTCAACAACAATTACCAAGAGGTAAGAAACTTACAAATTCAATTATTTCATACATGTGAGCAACTGCTTCCTTTGATAAATGTTATAATATATTATTTTACAGTGGTAGATAGTGATTTAAGTGAATCTTCTGATTCACCTGGTCCTAGGAAATATAGTTTACGTCAAAAGAAACCAACTGTAGATAGATTTCAAGCTAATGTAGAACCAGTTCGGCGATCTATAAAAGCACTTAGAAGTGTTCTTAGTAATTCCATGAGAAGACGTAAACATAGAAGCAAAAGTACAAGCTCTAGTGATTCCAGTGATTCAGAACCTCAGCGTTATGATAAGAAAAAAAGCAAGAAAGCAAGGTGAGCTGTAATATAGACATAGTTTTTCAAATGTCGGTAAAAAATTCATTGAATTTAATATGCAATTACATGACTCAATAACATTATTACACAATAGATTCTTGATTTTGTTAATTTTATAACAGGCAATCGGCAATACCTCAAGGTGGACCACCTCATCGTAAAGCGGATATAAACCCAATTACCTTAGATACTAATATTAGATTCAATGATGTTGGAGGTTTAGAATCACATATTCACTGCCTTAAAGAAATGGTTGTTTTTCCTATGATGTATCCAGACGTATTTGAACGTTATCACATTACTCCGCCAAAAGGAGTACTATTTCATGGTCCACCAGGTATTATTTTCGATGTTTATATAAGTATACGAGTAAATATATTTAACGTAAATTATAATATTTATCATAACATATAAAAGCATTTATTTTTAAAGTTAATATTTACTATCAAATACTTAGGAACTGGTAAGACTTTAATAGCTAGAGCACTGGCAAATGAATGTAGTCAAGGCAGTAGGAAAATGGCATTCTTTATGAGGAAAGGCGCAGATTGTTTGTCCAAATGGGTTGGAGAATCAGAACGCCAATTACGTTTGTTGTTTGAGCAGGCTCAACAAATGAAACCGTCCATAATATTTTTCGATGAAATCGATGGCCTTGCACCTGTTAGAAGTACGAAGCAGGATCAGATTCATGCCAGTATTGTGTCTACCCTTCTAGCTCTTATGGATGGCCTCAGTGATAGAGGAGAGGTAAAATATTTTTAACTGTAATATACAAAATATGAAACGATAGTTCATTCGATATTTATTTAATGGTAGGTTATAGTGATTGGAGCAACAAATAGGATAGATGCTATTGACCCAGCTTTACGAAGACCTGGTCGTTTTGATCGAGAATTATTTTTTCCTTTGCCTGCAATGAAAGAGAGACAGGAGATATTAAAAATCCATGTCAATAAATGGAAAAATTCTCCAACAGATCAATTGTTAGAAGTATTAGCTGAAAAATCAACGGGTTATTGTGGCTCAGATCTGAGGGCTTTATGTACTGAAGCTGTTTTACAGGCATTAAGAAG